GGGGGGGGGGGGGGGGGGAGGATCAGGGGCGTGGGTGGGTGTGGGTGGGGGGGGGTACCTCGGCCCTTTGGCGGGAAGCCTCGATCGCCGCCGCCCGCCGCCCTTCCTCCACAAGCCGCGCACGTTGCTGCAGCTCCCGGCGCTGCCCGTCGAGCCGCCGTCGCGCGCACTCCACCTCGACGGCCCTCGCCTGTGGACATGTCTGGGACATGTCTCGGACGTGTCTCGGACATGTCGTGGACGTGTCCTCCGACTCGGCCCTCTCCTCGCACTCCGCCGACCGCGCCTCGACCTCCGCCGCCACGCGCCGCTCGAACAGGGCCACGGCGAGCTGTTGCGGCGATGAGAAGGAGCCCATCGCTCCCTCCGGTCCGCCGCTCGCCCTCCGCCAGTGCTGCTCCCCGCCCGTTGCCACCCTCGCGACCGGAGGCCGAAGCGGCCCGCCCAGCGCCTCCGCCCCTAATCTCGGGTCATCTCGGGTCATCTCGGGTCATCTCGGGTCATCTCGAGACCTCGCGCCTCTGCCTCCGTGCCGTCCTGCTTCGAGCGCCCTGCGCCTCCCCGCTCCAACTGGCGGCGACAGCGGCGGTGGCGGAGGCGACAGCGGCGGTGGCGGAGGCGACAGCGGCAGCGGAGGCGGTGGCAGCGGCGGCGGCGGCGGTGGCAGCGGCGGCGGAGGCGGTGGCAGCGGCGGAGCCGCCGCCCGGCAGATGTTCCGAGAGCGGGAGCGGCGTGGAGGCGCCTCCGGAAGGGTCGTCTGGTAGTGGCGCATCTCCGCCTCTGCCTCGTAGACGAGGCGCTGCACCCCGCCGTCCTCTCGGACGTGTCTCGGACATGTCTCGGACATGTCCTGGACGAGGCGCTGCACCCCGCCGTCCTCTCGGACGTGTCTCGGACATGTCTCGGACATGTCCTGGACGAGGCGCTGCACCCCGCCGTCCTCTCGGACGTGTCTCGGACATGTCTCGGACATGTCCTGGACGAGGCGCTGCACCCCGCCGTCCTCTCGGACGTGTCTCGGACATGTCTCGGACATGTCCTGGACGAGGCGCTGCACCCCGCCGTCCTCTCGGACGTGTCTCGGACGTGTCTCGGACATGTCCTGGACGAGGCGCTGCACCCCGCCGTCCTCTCGGACGTGTCTCGGACATGTCTCGGACATGTCCTGGACGAGGCGCTGCACCCCGCCGTCCTCTCGGACGTGTCTCGGACATGTCTCGGACATGTCCTGGACGAGGCGCTGCACCCCGCCGTCCTCTCGGACGTGTCTCGGACGTGTCTCGGACATGTCCTGGACGAGGCGCTGCACCCCGCCGTCCGGAATCGCGCGCTCTCGGCCGCGCAGGAGCACGTCGGACGCCTGCCTCAGCCACGCCGGCTCGCCGCGACGCCCAGGGGACACGGCGTGCCCGGGTTCTGGCCCTCTCGGACGTGTCTCGGACATGCCTCGGACATGTCCTGGACGCGTCCTCCGACTCGGCTCTGGCTCTCTCCCTTCTGGCGGGGCGCGAGGCGCGCGCGCTCGCGGCGGCTCCGCCTCTGCATCGAGCCAGCAGCCACCCGGCCGACAGCATGTCCTGGCCGAGACTCGCCGACTCTCGGCGATGCGCTGGAGCAGCCGGTCTCTGGTCACGAGGTTGAACTTGAGGTCGACCCGGCAGGTGCCGCCCTCGGCCGCGTCGAGGAGGGAGGCGGCGCCCGCGTTGCCGATGCAGTTGCGCTGCAGAGTCAACTCGCAGGGGGCGGGCGCCTGCTTGAGAGGCGGGTGGCGGCGGGTGGCGGAGGAGAGGCGGAGGAGGAGAGGCGGAGGAGGAGAGGCGGAGGAGGAGAGGCGGAGAGGTGGAGAGAGAGAAGGCGGGAGGAGAGGTGGTGGAGGCGGGCGGTGGCGGGTGGAGGCGTGTGATGGCGCTACGTGCAGCAGCTGCAAAGGTGCGAATGCAGTGTCGCGACAGCGAGTGCTGCCAACTGCTGCCGAGTGCTGCCGACTGCGGCGACTCGCTCGTGGTGCAATTGATACAGCAGCAACGTATGCGGAGCTAGTTGGGAGTTGAATGCGCTCAGCATCTGCTGCGGCCTGGCCTGCGTGCGACACCTGCGCAGCCCGGCTGCGAGAGCGTGGGCCGCTGCATCGCGCAGCGCGTTCTGCTGCAGGCGGAGGCACCTCACCGGGGCGCCGAGAAGGCGAGCCAGACTCGTGCCTCCGGCGTCGCCGATGCGGCCACCGTCCAGCGCCAGCGTGGTGACAGCGCACGCAGGTCGCAGCGCGTCGGCGATGGCGCGTGCGCCGTCGTCGCCGACGAGAGGGTTGCCTCCCAAGTCGAGGGTCGTGAGCGATGGGCACCGTGACAGCGAGTTCGCAAGCGTCTGCAGCGCGGCGTGCGTGAGGCCGACGCTGTGCAGCTCGAGCGTGTGCACTTTGCTGCTACAGACTCGGTCGACGACAGCTGGGAGGTCCAGCCGGCAGAACTGGACACAGTAGACACCACCATCGTCACTATCTTTGCGCAGCGGCTCCAGCATGCCCGGGGGCTGTCAATCGCTCGGGAACTCGGCGGTCGTAGCGCGCAGGACACTGCAGCCACCGCCGCTGGGTAAAAAAGAACGCAATTTTTCTAGCGATCCAAACGCGGTCGTCTCGTCCCCCCGCCCTGTCGGGAATGAAGAGCGAGCCTTCGCCAAATGCAATTTACATCGAATCTCGCATGGGCCGTACTCCGAAGGACGTCGGGGGCCGCATTCATCGGGCGGCGGCTGCAAGTCTGTGCACGTACGCCAAACACTCTCTCTCTCGGACGCCTGCCCCATGGCCGACGCGTATGACAAGCCTGTAGCGGTGGAAGCCGTCCCGGTCGAAGGCGTGTGTGCCGGAGGAATGGAGACGACCGACGTCCCCGTGGCAATCGGCGCCCCCCTCACGCAAACCATGGAGCGGGTGCTAGGTCCGCTCGACGCCGTGTCGGTGCAGCAGACGCCTCGCGGATGCGTGCAAGAGTGCCTGGGATGTACCGCTCAGTCGGAATACCTGATATATCCCGGACTCAAAGAAGACGGCGGAGAGAATGCGCCCCAGATCGCGCACATGATTGAGCACTCCAACTGCGCTCTCCGCGTGTTCTGCTCACTCTGCGGCTCGGCAATGGTGCGGCCATTCTCGATGCCAATCACGGTGCCAGACAAAGACGGCGAGGAGCTGGTCAAGTTCAGTAAAGACTGGTCCATGCCTGTCTGCTGCATAGTCCGCACGCAAGACTTTGACGCCGCCTTCCCGTGCTGCTGCTGCCTCCCCGCGTTGGTGACCACCACGCCCGATGGCACGAAAGTCGGAGAGACGAAGTATGTCTGCGACGAGTGTCCCTTCGTCCCCAAATTTCACGTCTTCGACGCCGATGGCCGCCAACAGTACCTCATCCGTCCCGATACGTGCATGGGAGGCGCCTGCATTAACTGCAGCATGGGAGGGAGAGGCTCGCGCTTCTTTTACGTGCCCTTCATCATCCGCGACCCGGAGACCCAGGAGCCGCTCCCTGGCGGGGCAGGCGCCAAGGGGTCGCCAGCGCAGATTACAAAGGTGCCGCGTCGCAGATGAACGGCCATCCCGCGCCAGGCCCCAAGCAGCGAGCGCTTCTGTCCTCGCGTAGGTGTGGAGCGGGTTGCAGAAGGAGTGCTGCACGACCGCAGACAACTTCTTTGTCATTTTCCCCGCGAACGTGACCACAGTCACCAAGGGTGTGTGCCATCCTGCGCCGTAGACTTCACCGCATGCGAGCTACCACTAGCTCACCTGAAATGCACGTCACACGCCATGCGTCTTGAACCGCAGCCAACCTTCTCGGCTCTACAATCTTGGTCGACTTCACCCAGTTCGAAGACAATGATTGAGCGGCCGCTGTGTCGCCCTTCCCCATCACGATTGAGCGGCCGCTGTGACAAGGTGAAGGGGCGGGGTGAGAGAGAATGGAATTGCCACGGTTGGGGTGCAGTCTTGGCCTCGCTTTTGTGCGTCTTGATGACGAGCAGCGGCGATGTTCGTGTTCGCTCGACTCGAAAGCAGCGGTACGTGTCGTCGACGTCGTCGAGCAGAGACGGATGGGTGAGAAAGAAAGATCATCTTCTCCCGCGACACGCTTTCTTTCTTTTTTGCACGACCTGCCACGGACTGGCGCGGGGTTCTAAAATCTTCCTTGTGTTAAGTGCCAGTGCGCGCCAGTCCCGTGCCTAGTACTGTGAGAGAGAGAGTTTTGTGGTTCTCGACTTTTGTGTTAAAGTCTAGACTTCTAAAAAGTGGGGTCGGAGGAGCATTCCGGCTAAAAAATTCTTTTGCGCGCTAGTAAAATTCCTGGGAACACGGCACGCTCGTCGCCCAGCGGCCTTCTAGCTAGGAGGCCACAGCGACAAGCGAGTCAGGGGTACAACAGAAAAAACCGATGGGTGGGGGGCGGGGGGTGTACTCACTCACAAGTGCTCCGACGGCACCCGCGCAACAAGGCGTTTCCCCCTTGGGTTTAGAGGGAAATCTCTGTCGTCCCGGATACGCCTCTCGCCACTCTCGGACACGTTCGCAGGAGGCGAACAGGCACGCGCGGCAACACAGAGCCTTGCACCCTTTTCGCCCTTCTCACCGTTCGCCCTTCTCATCACTGCCCCGGCGCCCACTCCTCGATCTTCTTGGGCAGCAGCTGGTCCTGCTGCTCGTCGCCGTGGCCCAGCGTGCCATCGTCTCCTGCGCCCCAGCTCCAAACGGCGCCGTCGGCGGTGAGGGCGAGGCTGTGGTCGCATCCCGCCGACACAGCGACGACGCGCTGGTCAGCAAAGGCCTCGACCTTCTTCGGCAGCAGCTGGCGCTGCTCGTCACCGTGGCCTAACCGGCCTTCCCCTCCCCAGCCCCAGCTCCAGGCAGCGCCGTCGGCGGTGATGGCGAGGCTGTGGTTGTCTCCTGCCGACACAGCGACGGCACGCTGGTCAGTAAAGCCCTCGACCTTCTCGGGCAGCAGCTGGTCCTGCGTGTCGCCGTGGCCCAGCTGGCCAAAGTATCCCCAGCCCCAGCTCCAGACGGAGCCGTCGGCGGTGATGGCGAGGCTGTGGTCGCCTTTAGCCGACACAGCGACGACGCGCTGGTCAGCAAAGGCCTCGATCTTCTTCGGCAGCAGTTGCACCTCGTGGTCGCTGTGGCCCAACCGGCCTTGCCCTCCCCAGCCCCAGCTCCAGACAACTCCGTCGGCGGTGAGGGCGAGGCTGTGGCTGGCTGCAGCCGACACAGCGACGACGCGCTGCCCCCCCAAGGCCTCGGCCTTCTTCGGCAGCAGCTGGTTCTGCGCGTCGCCGTGGCCCAGCATGCCAAAGCCTCCACCGCCCCAGCTCCAGACGGAGCCGTCGGCGGTGATGGCGAGGCTGTGGAAGCTTCCAGCCGACACAGCGACGACGCGCTGGCCAGCAAAGGCCTCGACCTTCTTCGGCAGCAGCTGGATCTGCTCGTCGCCGTGGCCCAGCCGGCCAAAGCCTCCACCGCCCCAGCTCCAGACGGCGCCGTCGGCGGTCAGGGCGAGGCTATGGCCGACACCAGCCGACACAGCGACGACGCGCTGGCCAGCAAAGGCCTCGACCTTCTTCGGCAGCAGCTGGATCTGCTCGTCGCCGTGGCCCAGCCGGCCAAAGCCTCCACCGCCCCAGCTCCAGACGGCGCCGTCGGCGGTCAGGGCGAGGCTATGGCCGACACCAGCCGACACGCTCGCAGCGCGCTCACCAAGCGTCGACGGGAGGCGCGTCGACGTGTTGAGCCGCGTCACACCCTCGCCGTGCCCGAGTAGCCCTGGAAAGCCTGCCTCACTGCCGCACAATGAGAGCCGCCCCTCGCCGTCGATGAAGACGCTGTGCTGCTTTCCTGCCGCAGCCCTCGCGGGCGGGTTGGACTCGCACAGCAGCGCCGAATAGCACAGCCACCGCACGGCGCAGCTCTCGTCCTCTGGCTGCGCCGGCAGCTCGAAGCCGCGCTCTTGCGCCCACAAGCGGATGCCCTGCTCCGCGAGCGAGGCGTGAAAGAGGTGGGAGACGGCCGCGACGCGAGCGATGTCGAGGGGGCTGTCGCAGCGAGAGAGGGCGCGCTCGAGGAGCTCCCTGGGGAGGTCGAGGAGGCGGGCGGGCGGCGGCGTGTCTGGCGAGGGAGCGGCGGTGGCGGCGGAGGCGAGGCGGCGCGAGCGGCGGCGCGGCAAAATGGACATCGCGAAGAAAAGAATTCAACAGACGAATCTCTCTCACAG